GACATGTATCAGTGCAGGAGACAAATCTGCACTGGGCATTGGGACGTCACCTGTCATCAATCTGGTGGCAAGCATATGCTCCTCAGTCACTGCTATCCCTTGCAGAGGGAGAGCTGATCCTTGTGTGGGCTTCGCAGCGGTGCTCTGCAGAGCATTGCGTTTTCCCTCAGACTTCATGGGAGTGGTGCTGCTGCCCAGTGGCACTGGGGGGCCTGTCCCGTTCTCCATAGGTACACGTGGAGCTGGGGACAGCGTGGCTGTGTCTAGCTCTGTATGCCTGTTCCCATGGGTAACAGCCATTGTGTGCCCTGTAGGCACAGGGGATGAGATCTGAGTGGTGCCAGGAGCCATGGGGACACTGGTCGTCCAGTCAGTTTGTTTTGGGTAGGCAATACCTGCCTGGGGACTGTCCCATCCTGACACCCCTCCAGAGATTGCTGCACTAGAAGGCATCTCCTGCTCCTTGCTGGGGCTCATGGGGTCCAGTGCTGCCAGCACCATCTGTGGCACTGCACTGCCTGTGAGGAGACAGAAAGCAATTCCACCCATACCAACCCCTGAGTATGCTGCTCACCCAAGCACTGGATTGAGCTCTCTGGTGGGCAGGGATCAGCTCCAACCTGGCATTACCTGAACCATCTCCGAGGACAGAAGGCTGCTCTGTTTGGCCAGGGGTCAGCAGGCACATGCCCAGCTCGGGCACAGTGGGTGACATATCCCGACGTTGCTCGGCACTGATGCTGTCAGGCACGCGGGAGCTGCCAACCAGCTCTGCTGGGTCCTGTGCTGGGACAAGGGGCCCCATGCCTGCTGCTCCCGCATTCCCTAGTGGGGCTTGGGTGTGAGCAAGGGCAGGCTGAGCAACAAGCCCTTTGCTTCCCACTGTAATCCATTGGGTGCCCATCTCTCCTCCCCACCATGCAGGCTGCTGCAGGACAGATCCCCGTGCCTCCTTGGCACCGTGGTGTGTCCGGCTGCCCCGGTGACGCAGACGACCCCGGCACTCACCTGGCAGCACCCAGAGTCCCCACAGCACCCAGCTCCACAGCAGCTGCCCCATGGTGTGCCCACAAAAGCTCCCAGCACCGCTGGCACCTCCTCGCTGTCTGAGGACCAGTGATGCAATGAGGCGGCTCCTCCGGTGAGCACTGCCCTGTGCCAGCCCTCCTCCAGCTGCCACTGCCATATGGGGATGCCACATGCTACCAAAAACTCCCCAAGCCCATAGAGACAGCCATGCCCCAGCCCTGAGGGTGTGCTGGTGGCTGGGGTTATCTTTTTAGTCGTTGCATTAGCTATGAGGAGGTTTTAAGACCATGTATAGGGTGAAGCCGCAGCTGACACCTCAAGGTTAAGATACAGTTAGAGCTGATCACCTCTTGAGACCACTCAATGGCCTGCGAAAGGCCACAGGATGGCAAAGGGGGCTCAGGTCTCCAAGACTGCAGGGAGGGGGTGCTCGCCAAAACCCCACTGCCCACCCCACCTTGTTTACTGCCAGGTCCCAGCCACGCTTGGCCAGGTAGACGATAACCCCCAGAACCCGTGGGCCTGCCGCCAAGGAGGAACAAGGAAGGGAGCACCTGCCTTGGGGTCCTGCGCTGCTTAACCCTTCCCCATCCCCTGGGGTACTCCACTGCCCCCCAGGATGCACAGAGACCGAGCAGCGCTCATCACGCCCCCACCTGGCCCCCAGTAGTGCCCACCCCACCGACCCCATGCCCCCAGAAGTGGGGGGCATTGTGCTAAGGGCCCATGACCTCAACATGGCCGTTGCGTGCAGGGGGTTATCTGCACCATCGGTGTGTATCCATTGCAAACACCCACGCAGATCCGGGCTGGGGGGGGGG